CACATTATTGTTCCCATCATGGAGTCATATTCACTTCTTTTATGGAAGCTACTATTAACTGTGTTAAGTTCATGTTCTTCTAGTGCACATGTCCCTTCTTTGGTTTCTCAAACAGCATTTGTGATGCAATCTCTGTTTTCAACTTTTTGTGTCATTTTTCAAAGAATGCACAAAAACAGTGAGGTATTAGTTGGAAGGAAAGCCATGGTCTCCTGGGAATTTCTTGATCTTGGCTTTCCCAGATGTGCTTCCTCTTTTGACTTCATTTTATGAGAGCTTTCATTTTAAGCAGCTTTAAGAAAGGTTGCTCTCTTCTTTCCCTGGTGATTCAGCATCCATCCAACAGAGGAAAGATTCTTACCATCTTATACTAGACAGCAACCCAACTCCTGTTTATTCCTTTAAAAAAGGAAAGCAGTGGTAAATTAGACTTATATTTTAAAGACTAGCAAGAAAAGAGTTATCCCCTTTCTTCAAGTTAGAGGAAAGATCACAGACGTCTGCTTTAGACCCTGGTAAAGGGTCTGGAGAAAAAGCCTTATGAGGACCTGCTGAGGAAACTGGGCTTGTTTAGTTTGGAGAAGAGGAGACTGGGGGAAGACCTTACCACTCTCTATGACTACCTGAAAGGAGGTTGTAGTAAAGTGGTTGTTGGTCTCTTTTCCCATGTAACTTAGAGGAAATTGCCTCAATATGTGCCAGAGGAGGGTTAGATTGGATATTAGGAAAAATTTATATACTGAAAGTGTGGTCAAGCACTGGAACAGGCTGCCCAGGAATGTGGTGGAGTCACCATCCCTGGAGGTATTCAAGAAAACGTGTAGATGTGGCACTTCAGGACATGGTTTAGTGGGCATGGTGGTGTTAGGTTGATGGTTGGACTCGATGATCTTAAAGGTCTCTTCCAACCTGAATGATTCTGTGTTTCTATGATTCTATGAATAATTGCTTCAAAGCAGCACATCTCAACAAGCTTAAAAACTGTATGATATTAATTCGTGTTTTCCTTTTGAAGGTTTGAGAAGATACATTATTCTGTATAGAGATGGCAAACATCAGAAAAATGCTTACTTTTGTTTTTGCCATTTGTACTGATACCAGTTCACCTATTTTTTTCCTCTCTTCTAGAAACTTTGCAAATATTTTAATATTTACTCCAATCAGTATGAGAAAAAAAATGTGCTGGTACATTATAGCTGAAATGTGTGAAATTATCTCTATATCACAGGAAGGCAGGAGACCATTCTCTGTATGAGGTATACAAAGAGATTTTTTTTTACTTGGAGTATCTGTAAAAGCAAACTTTCTGACATAATCAAGTCTGCAACAGATTTATCATTTTCATCTTCACAACTAAGACCTGAGTTCTATCTTTTCTCTAACTTTGTAGCTAGATTTTTTTATTCATAGCTCAAAAATTTTTAGTCTTTCTTTATCTATCAGTTTATGTTTGCCATCTCTCTGAAGGACTTGAAATGCAAATAATTTGCATTAATCAAGTCATATTAGGGTTCAAGTTGATTGTTTATATGGTTTGCTCATGCTATTTCTAATATGTTATTGGGGAGTTCATGCTTTTACAATGCTAGTTTGACTGTAACAAGAAAAGTGGAGATATTCTATCCTGGATGAGCTGTGAATGAGAACCTATAAAACAATAAAGGTACCTTTGAAGCTTGATAAGCATATGGAACAGAGACATAACCTATGGATTAGTAAAAGAAGTACAAAATACCTTTTTTTCCTTGATTTAACACCAGTGTGAAACAGACAGTGACATGACATGATGAAATAATCATTAATCAATATTTTTTAGAGCTTGTTTATCAGGATGTTTAGCTGCTAAAATAATGGACAATGAAACAAGATACTAGAAGAGTAGTTCAATTTTTCATAGTGGAAAATCAATAACAGGTAGAAAAGTCAACATCTTTAATACTGCATCACAAAGATCATTGTCTTGGCATGATAAACTTCAGTGTCAGAACAGTTTGTATTTGCAAAATAAGAAACATAGGTTTTTGTTGCTGCTGTTGCACTGATGTCTTTATCCATTTTCCTTCTATAGAAGATACCATTTTAATTTCCTTAATCCAAAAGAGAATTATTTTAATATTATCTATCATTTTACAATAGATTTTATTCTCTTATCTCCTGTCTCTCTTTTTCAGCTTTGCCAAATAATTCCTCAGGTGGTTGGCTGATGTTCCATTCATAAATCTCCTGAAATCTAGATGGTCCAAACTTCTGTCTTTTTTTGCATAAAAAAAATTATGTTCACAAGTCAATGGACAAAGACCTGTGCTTTCAATGATTCAACTAAGATTAAGTTGTTAAGTGTTGATGCCTTGTTATCTTCTTTCCCAGGCAGATATTTACATGCCAGGGTAATCTGACATAGCACAAAATGAGTAATGTAGAGATTCAGAATAGATATTATCAAGGCTATATATTTGCAGAGACTTCAAAACATTGAAGACAGTGAGGAATTATGTGTTCTTTCACAAAGAATGATTTCTAAACATTGACAGTAGATTCATTAATTAATTCAGCGATTAATACTATTTGACTAATAAATAATAATTTCTGGAAAACGCTATGAAAATCCATTGAAAGGTACTGTGAGAAGATAAATGCCATTGTTTGAAATTTAAACTGCATGGAGATCAGCCCCTTCAAGTGCAAATTTCAGTTCAGTCTGAATGTGTCCAATGCACAGGGGAAAAGGTTTGAAAAAAAACATAAGGGGTTGTTTGGTGAGGTTGTTGGGTTTTTTTTTGGGGGGAGGGGGTTGGTTTTTGGTTCTTTGGTTGGTTGGTTTGGGTTTTCTGGGTTTTGTGGGTTTTTTTCCATATTGTTGTCTTTTACCAGGTGTGTCAGTAGTTGCTCAGTCTGTGACAGATAACTCTACTGAGCAGGGCCTTAGTTGTCTGTGATTTCTTTTTGCAGTCAGAAACTTCAAACAATAAGTACCACATACTTTCTCTTTGCTTAACACTGTGCATGCATAAGATTTTTTTGCGACTTGTTTTTAGGTAGAACAGGTTGAATATAATGTTCTGCATACAAGCACAAAACAGCAGAGGAGTTTATGAAAAATATGCAAGTGTGAATTCATCCTGGGATTAGAATATAGCCTTATTTTTGGTATCTATACAGAAGAGGGATAAGGAACTAAGGAAAAAGTCTCTTCAAGCAATTGTATACGTTATACAGTTGTGGATAAAAGGAAATCAACTTTTTCAAAATCATGTGGTGTTTGTTAGCTGTAATATATTAGAATTTAATAATTCTGAGAATATGGGAATAACATAGTATTTATCTCAATTTCCTCCAGATACTGCTCCTACATGTCAATTTTCCACAGCTGTAAACATTGTCAAGGGTTTAACATGTGAAAATTCTTCCAGAAGAGAATTCTTACAAATCTAAAGCACTTCATTCAATTTCAGGTGATTCACTTACTCTAGGAGAAAAATGAAGGCAAAAATCAGATGTTGTGTAATAACATATTCCTTGATAATCTGAGAAAGCTGCATAAAAGATTTATACTTTATTTTATGAAAATAGCCTGGAAAAATAGTTGCATGTTTCAGAAAAGGCTATTTACTATCTGAACAAGCAACACATCACGGTTAATGAAGTTTGTATAGATTATTTCAAGTGTTCTAAGACAGCAATGATATTTAATATTTATTCCAATATTAATATGGGAATTGTTGTATTGTTTTTATGACAGCATCCACCAAGTCAAATGCTAGCTATAATGAGGAATTGATGTTTCTTTTTGAAAATACTTCAAAAATTAAATTAGTAGGCCACTGCAGAATGGTACTTCACTAGGTAGGCTTACTGAAGGATTGGGAGCGTGACAAGCACTATGTAACATTCTGTGCTGATGATGCTTTTCTCTATTTTGGATATATTAGAAACTGAACTTTTTGCATTATAGAGTAATTTAAAACCCTCTCCATCATATGCTCCTGGGAAGAAGCTGATCTTGTACAAGAAGAAATCTGAGCTGGCAACCTGCAATCTGTTACAAAAGCAGATCAGTTGCACTTACCCTGGAAAAAGTGATGGTGACAGAATTTATACTACAGGTGCACTGGAAGGATAAGTAAGGTATCATGCTTCTGCAGATGTGGGTAATTGGAGCAGCTGTAGTACAGAGTGCTGAGGAACAGAGGACAAACAGAGTCCTCCGGCTGCCCTGGCTGTCCCTCATCAGCCTCCCTCTACCTTTCCTCTCAGCACTGCTTGAATTAAGTCTCTGTATTCTGTGAAATTACTTCCTCTAAAGCATTATCTTAGCAGAACAGCATCTCTATGTCTAAACTTCAGACTGATAGATTCTGAACAATATCTCCAAATTTTTTGGATCAGGCTGACAGCTCTTCCAAAGGATTCATAATGGCAACTTTATGTCATCTTCCTCATTTTTCAGCAAAGCAAAGTCACATATTTGATCTTACTTTCCTTGTTCTTTGATCCTTGATCACTTTACATCTATTAATTACTTTAAAATTAGAATAAATTTAAAAATACATAATTCTGACTTCGTATAAAGAGGACTTATCTATCTAGGTCTAGAGTTTCAGCAAAATTAAAATAATTCATCGCTGCATAGCTTATCTGACATACTGTTATGCTAAATCAATTTCTAGTGCAAAGCAAAAAAAATCCTTTTAAATAGTGGCCTTAGGTAGTTTGTCTTGTATGATTAGCATTTCCATCTTATTGCTAAGATGTGTGGGGAGGAATTACCTGGTTGCTTTATATCAAAGCCCATTTTAGTTAGCTAACAATATAAATGTTAATGTTGCCAAGTTAACAAGTAATTAATATACTATTGCAATCTCATGTTCAGTGAACTAATATGTATTTATCACTTGATATTCACATTTAAATGCAAATGAGTATTTATAAAAGCATAATCTCGACAATTGTCAAATATCAAGAGCATATCTTGTAAGCATATTCTTATTGTTTCTTTTTAGTCATTCACAACTCTTTGGAAGATTCCATTTATGAAGTTGGGATCAGGTGTGCCCTGGGCTACTTTCCGTGTGGCAATATCACAAAGTGTTTGCCCCAACAGCTTCACTGTAATGGTGAGGATGACTGTGGGAATCTGGCTGATGAAGACAACTGTGGTACGTAGCTGACACTTTTCTCTGTGTCTAACATCTGAAACCTATGCACTGCTCACACTAAGTAGAGAGCTACAGAGTGTTAGAAATAGGAAAGTTAATTGTTTTGCAGAGTATATAATAGGTATTTGGTTTAGCTAATAAAGCACCCAACAAACCATTTGCTAGGAAGCAAGGACTGTGCTTTTGTTTGTGTGTGATATCAGTTTATTCAATTTTATCGCTGCTTTGAACTTCTTTGAACTTCTTTGCATGAATCATTTTGATGCATACAAATGGACATATGGAATCTAGCAAAGATCTCTGCTGAGAACAGGTAGACATATGCATTAACAGAGTTTATATTAAGCTTAATGTGACTTTTAAAGCTGTTTGGGAAACGTAATTTGAAGAATTTTCAAGATTTTTCAGAAATCTTTTATGTCCTAACTCAGGAGAAAAAACTTGACATTATGAGTGTGCTGTACAGGCTGTACTGCTACAAGGCTTTGGGGTTTGGTAATGTCAGTGTCTGAGGGAATATGCATGCTGTTGTGATCCTTGTCACTCCTGACCCTGGCCCAAGACATGAACTTGACTTGGTTTGTAGGCTTTACCCTGGCTGTAAAATGAGTAGGGCTAAGGCATGGGCTTTGCACTGGCACTTACCTGTCCATGCTGCTTATTTTTGTGCATGTCCCCAGCACAGCTTTATTCGATGCTGAGCAGCATCTCTCACACAATGCCTGGACACAGCTCAGAGGGTGGCACAGACCTTGGATATTCTAAGAAAGGTCCCCTGGCCATATTTTATGAGATGAGAGCATAGCCATTTTGTTGTAAGCTGTGACCATAGGGAGAAAATCAGCCCTAGAACATTTTATCTACTGGTATTGTCAGCTTACTAACAGCATGGATAGTTTCAGAGCTGCTCTCCAGAGCTGCTGATCCATAGCAGATGGGAAAACTAGACTTCTCATTCCATAGTTGCTTGCCTGTAGCCATGGAGGGCAGCCAGATGCATGGCATCCTGCCTCACATGCTGCTTCCAGTTCCCTGGATCCAAGCAGGTGAATAGTCTGCCTGTCCTAGCCATGCATGCTGCCATCAGAGGTGGGGGTTGGGGAGGTGGCTGTACAAAAAAACCCGACCCTAAAATATGAAGTGAAAATTCCAAGAGGCATTAAAATATATATATATATTTATAAATTTTCTGAAAGAAATTTCAAACAAAATACGGTAAAGGTATTTTTCACAAATGATCTCAGTAAAGTCAATGAGGTTTTGAAAATAGTTGTTCTTACTATAGATACATGAAGTTGATTTTTGTCCATACACGTATTATCTTATTCTTCTATCAAATTTCAGCATCTTACTCCATATGAAAGTCACTTTTAATTCTAATCCCATCTAATAGACCTGTAGTTTTTTCCAGTTTTATGTAATTTGCTGATGCCATAAATGTATTTTCCACAACCAGTAATAAAAATCCTTAACAAAATTGCCTCTTGTTCCATTCTTCTCTAATTATCTTGCCTTACAGTGGCAGAAAATGCTGATGGTGGTTTCTTCTTATTTTTAAAAAGTCCAGATACCGTGAACAGTTGGTTTATCCGTGTTTCATTTCTGTATAGTACCAGAAAGTCTGTTGTACAAGGACTTGCAGAAAGTGTACAGCTTGATCAAATGGCAATTAAGACAGTGTAGCCTGCAAGACACTTCAACTGGGATATTCAATCCTCTTCTGGATATGGTAGTTCAAGAATGAGTTAGCCTAAATTTCTGAAAGCCTAAATCACAGAAGATGAAGAGTCATTGTACTGACTTACTGGGAAAGATATGCTCTCAGTGTTTTTCTCATATCTTGACTGCATGTTCTTACTTAGAAGTGCATGCCATGTATATTGTATTAAAGATAGATTCAGCAGTAATGTTTTCGCAGAAACTGGTGTTGCAGTCCAACTTTGTTGTTTGATTAAAGAAAGAGTTTCTTCCTTGCCTGAGAATATGGAATGTCCTGATGAGATTTTCTGCAATGCCTGTACAGTGTAGTAAGTGTGAGGATCTTTATGGGATAGCTCTGTTTTGTGACCGTTCATCTTGCTTAAAATCCAAGAAACAAAGCCTCATTTATTAGTTCCCAAGACAAAGAAACTAGCTGCCTTTTTTTGTTTGTTAGTTTGTTTTTGCTTTAGTTTCCTGGGACCACTTTAGTATGCCAGCCTTATGCCAACAATTACATCAGATGTCTTCTACCTATTTTTTAAATTTACAACTAGTTTTGAGTTGATAACATCACACTTTTGTCACTGCATGTAATAGTAGGAAAAAACCCCAATTTCTGTGTTATTATCTCTTCTTGATATATCACTCAGTCAGTTATTAATTAATTAATGCAAATTACAAAGTGCTGCAAAAGTGCTTAATGCAGTTAGATTTTAAAACATTTTTTTTCTAAATGAGATGAAGAAATCTGAGTTGTGATCTCCTGCAACATGTCACAGAAACAGAGGATATAAAATATGGCATCTTCTCATGTAGTCTGTGACATATAACTCTCATAAACAAATGCCTTCATTCTTTTTTTCTTAATTGGGAAGTGAGTAGGTATGGTTCATGCTTTGTTTAAAATTAAGGTTACTGTCATTTGATGCTACTGAATAGCTCTTATGCTCCATCTCCAAACTGGTTATTGAAATAGGTTCTTCATTTATTGCTAAAAAATCTCTAGAGGAAATGGTTATGTGCAAATAACATATGTATAAATCATATTTAGAACAAAAAGTATTTTAGCATAAGAATTGTTAGAAATGCAAAAACTTCAGGATTTTTATTAATTTCAAAACCAAAAGTGCATGAGTTGAGGCTAATCTCTTGCCCCTATGTAGACTGGGCTGTTGCACCATGAACGATTAATGAAAAAAATCAGTGACGACCGTTACATATTTGACTACCACTCTAATTTAAAAAAGGGAATGGAAAGAACACCACACTACGGTGTTTCATTTTATCTTTTTTCAAAACCAGGGTTTTTAATTATGTAGTATTTAATGAAACAAAGTAGCCTGAGCTATTTTGAGAGCACAAATTTCCTCAGTATTTAGAAATTTGGCTTCTGGACAATTCTGCTGATAGTTCTGCAGAACTGGTTTTCTTGGCAGTTAGGCAATGGTTGTAGTGTGTCTGCATTTGTTTTTTAATCACAGAGTCATAACCACATTTTTCCAGTCCAGTGAAGCAAGAACAGACATGCAGATTTAATTTAAGATGTTTCTGATTCTGGAGAAGTTCTTCACTTGGCTAAGTATATTTACCATGGTGTTAAGGTCTCTGAATATTCAAGTCCCCAGGCGTAAAGTTCACTTATAGATGTTTGTTAAGCTCTGTCTAGCTCCTAGGCTGGAAAACACAGACATAAGTTTTCAAAAGAACTAGGGAAGAGAGTGGCTGTTTGAAGACTTGCACCTATCTAGCTCTAAAGGCACAGGCCTCGTCTGTTATTGTGTGCCATGCAGTCATTAGGTGACTGGCTTGCCTTATTAAATGAGTTATAACATAACACCTCTTTTTTAAAAGGGCCTGTAAAATTCAACAGGAGGAAAGTAGTAACAATCTATATAGATGTCATGCTGGTTTTATATGTGTTTCTTTGAAGGTCTGTAAACTTACAGAGAATTATTATCAGAGGACTGGAGCACCTCTCCTACAAAGACAGGCTGAGAGAGTTGGGGTTGTTCAGCCTGGAGAAGAGAAGGCTGCAGGGAGACCTTATTGTGGCCTTCCAGAACCTGAAGAGGACCTACAAGAAAGCTGGGTAGGGACTGTTCACAAGGGCAGTAGGATGAAGGGTAATGGTTTTAATCTAGAAAAGGGTAGATTTAGGTTGGATGTTAGGAAAAAGTTGTTCACTATGGGGGTGGTAGATCACTGGAACAGGTTGCCCACAGAGGTGGTGGAAGCCCCATCCCTGGAGACATTCAAGGTCAGGCTTGATGGGGCTCTGAGCAACCTGATCTAGTTAAAGATGTCCCTGCTTACTGCAGGGGGGTCGGACTGGAATGACCTTTAAAAGTACCTTCCAACCCAACACATTGCATGATTCTTTGAAATTTTATTCTGTCATTACCACTCATCCACAGTATATGGCACTGAGACAATCAGGTTTAGAATGATGAGCAAATATCAGCAAATGGAATAGCTTTGCTGAAGTTCTGGAAGCTTTTAATCCATTTTGTTGTCGAGGTCTTTAAATATTGTTCATAACTAAAAGGAAGTTTTACATTTCAGTAGACTTGTCTTTTCTGGTCTCCACAGTAGTAGCCTAGTGCTAGGGGAACTTCGAAGCAACACAAGGTTTTATAGATGTATTCACACTATTAGTTTGTTTTAATTTATTCTGTCACATTTATTTTTAAAAGTGCAAATACTTCAAGAAAAGCAAAATAGAAAATTGGATTAATCTATATATACATTAAAAGTATTGTTATATAAACTGGAAAACTCCTCTGTGTAAGTGTTTTGCAGGAATAAAGCCACAATATTGAGAAGATATTTATCTTTTGAAATTTTGAGCATACCTGTTTTCTTAAAAACTGCACTGAACTCATTAAATTGTTTTAAAATCAAGACTAAACTTGTATGAACAAGTCATCTAGCTCATCCAGAGCATCCAGGGAATTGTAAACCTTATTTGAATTTATTTAATTCCTGTCTGGTTTTCTGTGATTTTGTTTTCACATATACGTAGGCGAGCTATGTTTCAGTTAATCAGCAAGTGCAGATCACAGTCAATGTGCACACAGTTTGGTGTGGGGTAAATTGCCTTTGCCTTGACTAGTAGGTGTCCAGTTTTATAGGTTCTTCATTTTATCAATTTGGGTATTCACTGCAGCTATGAAATTCACTCCCAGAGTCGAATGCTTCAGGCACTGCAACAGTCCGCTTTGTAAAATCTCAGTGTGGTTTTGGTCTCACTATAAGTTATTAGACTGTATCAGTATGCCCAAGCACTCTGGAAAGGGGCAATTATATTCCTTCATCTGTAAACATTTTAAGAAGAATTGCTTCTTGTCTGGAGAATACAGGTTTTCCTTGTTGTACTGAAAGATATCTTTGTGAACAGCCTGAAGTAATTTCTTACAGCAAGAAAAAGTGTATTTGAACAATGGCAGAAAGAAATATGTCCATGGGTTATGACCACCAACAGCAATGGCAAAATTAAAGAGTGATATAGTGCCTCTTTCAAACAGCAGACAGCAGTGCTTATGCATTTAACTGATACCATTCCTCTGCATAATAACCCACGGAGACATGGCTGAGAAGGGGAAAGTCAAATGGATAATGTCCTGTTCATAAGCTCCATACTAAATGAGAGATGTGACTTTAATTGAGCAAAGCTGGTATTTTCTTGGATCTGCCACTGAATGGACTGTTCACATCTGTAGTCTGTTGGGATTAACATACTCTTTCTCATTCTCTTTCCCATCAGAAATGAAAATTGGCAACTTTCAACAAGGAACAGTGTGTTAACCTGTAGTCAGATAAATCCGGTTTACAATTACTTATTTCACTTATCCTACATAAGGAAAGATTTGCTGATGCTTTTTCTCTGATCTCATTTTTACAGAAGTGCAGCCAACATAATCTATTTTAGAACTGGCTCAGGAAAAAGCAATTTCTCATCTGACCTGTACTCCCCCAAATGATAGATTTGGGATTTGAAGACCAGTACTATTACCAACCATTTCTTAAAGTGTTTGGAATACCTCATCTCAACAGAGGTAAACAGGTCATAAACATACCATGACCATGACCACAGACTCATTTACAGTTCTGCTGTTGAGCACTTCACCAAATTGTTGTTCTAAATATAGTTATTTGCAAAATATATTCTTCTGGGATTTGAAAAAACAGTTTGTATAAAATAAAGACTGTCCCAGGCATGGACACAAAACTTGACCCAAAGCAAACATTTTTGAAGGTCAGAAAAAACTTGTTTTGTTATATTCAGATATGCCTTCATATTTCTAGTAGAAGGCAGGACAATCAATGCCATGATAAAAGCCTGTTATTTCAAATGAACTGACCAGAAACTCCAGAAAACTGGAATGCTCCAGTAAAACATAATCCATCCTCTCCCTTCTCTGTGCTTTTTTTATCCCTTCTCTTCTATGGCCACACGAAAATATGCAGCTGTCTCTCAACTTCATTGAAAATGCTGGTGAACTTCCCCTTCGTAGTGAACTGTTATTTGATTCCCATTAGTGTAGGAAGCATTGCTCATGCTTTTTCTCTGCAGATGTTAACTGCGGTGATGATCACTTATTGTACATGCTTTGTCACATGCAAAGCACTTTACTAAAAGGTAGAATAAAATCTCACCTATCCACTTTTTGATTGCAGAAGCAGGGAAATGAAGAAAAATTCTACTTTATATAGCCATTGGCTTACAAGAAGATTAGAATTTATGACTTTTAACTATATATTCAGAATCTACAGATAAATTGTTGTCAGAAACTTTTTATGAATGTAATTATGAATTAGAAAGTCCAAAACTATTTTGAGACTGTATTATTGACTGCTAAATATTTATTTGGTATGATTATACTTGAAGAATAATCTCATTTTTAATACATCTTTACAAAATTCTGTTTAAAAATCCTCCATGAAATATTCCTTTTATCTTAAATCTCACCTCCTCTGTGTACATTGTATTCCCACTAGTTTCTTCAGGTCCCAGTTGCTGTGTTCAGTCTTGCAAATGAAAGTCAATGAATGTACTTTGGTTAAATATTCAGAAATAGTGATAGAGGAAACCTCATTACAGCCCTGACCACAGGGCAGGAAGTTTATAAGGCACTCGCCACTTGGCAAAGGATCTGTTTTCATCACTTCATCCATAATGGATTCTATGTTACAGTTAGTCCTAAAACTGAACTTCTGCTGAACTTTTAAAACAGGCAGAGCAATATATCTGCAGGTTTGCAAACTCCTTTCATTTTGTCCAAAATGCATTAGGCTGCTTCTGAATATCCAACCTGGCAAAATTGCTAATGGATCAAGGAATACCAGGTGCTCTCGAGGAAGTTGGTAAAATACGCTTAAATACCATCTCTGGCTGGAAAGCTGGCATTCTTGCAGGACATAATTTAATTCACATTCATTTTCAAGTGTGAAGGCACTTTTCAGCTCTTTCTTTTCTCTTTCTGGAGCAATCCCTAAGACAGAGATTTTTGGTTGCTTTGAATCTTCCATCTTTTCAATTTAGGTATAAAAATGAATAACTAGATAAAAGATAGTCTGCCTGAAGTTACTCAGTCTTTTATAATAGCTACTATTCAGAATCTATAGTGCATCTTTTCAGCTGAGGCAGCAAAGGCGCAGGCAGTGCTCAGAGTTGCTCCACCCGCTGACACTCCGCAGGCAGTCTTCAGGAGATTCTGTCAAGGTAATTTCCCTGCTTCACTGAGAAAGCACATGAGTTGTAATGTGATGTCAAAGAAGAGATGCCATTTCATTGCAAAGAAGTAAATACATTTTATTTCTCCCTGCCTATTTTGAAGCCAATAGATACAGTAGTAATGCTAACTTAAATATAAAGATTTATAATGTCCATGAGGAATGGTATTTAACTAAACTGTTACCTGTGAAAGTTGGAACGGTGGAGGGAAGACCATTGCTAGCATATCATAAAAGTTGCAATGACTAGTAAGGCAGAGCCATCCTCAGAATTCTCATATAAATGTTGTTGGACAGTAGGTGTCATTACAAAGTAATGCTTTCAGTTATGACTGATGCTTTGACTCAGCAGTTGTCCGATAAGCCCAAGAAGGGCAGTGCTACATCATTCAAAGAATGGAAACCGACAAAACCTCTTGGTGTTGTCAAAGCTGAAGGGAGGTCAGACTCAAATTAATAAAACTAAAATCAGATCATCATAAAATCGGAGTGGTCAGACACTGGAACAGGCTCCTCAGGGAAGTGGTCACAGCACCAACACTGTCAGAGTTCAAGGAGCATCTGCATGATGCTCTTTGTCGTATAGTTTCCCTAGTTCTGCTAGGGAGTTGGACCTATAATCCTTATGGGTCCCTTCCAACTTCAGATATGTGACCAAATTGGTAATATGGAATAATGTTTTGCTTAAGAAGATGCATATTGAGCTTAATTTAAGCACACTGACTTGAATATATTACCCACATTATTGAAAAGCAGTGTTCATTTGGCCTTCATCTGTCTTTCCAGGAAAAAAATTATAGACAGTGATAGTGTGAGACAGCTCTCTTTAAAAAGTTGTCAAAATCATAGTAACAGTTTAAGCTTTCCTGGACAAAGAAAGTGACAAACCCACATGTTTAAGAAGGTAGGAAAATATGGTTGCCTCTCCTTTTTTAGACTTCTATGTAGATAAAAAGCTCTGAAGTGGAAGATTACATGTCTTTGGTGCAACTGTCACAGAAAATGTTGTTATTGGAAGTATAATAAGCTGTTCTTACTATGCAGCTCATAATCTCAGAACATACTGGTATTTAGACAGCCATATAAAGATAAGGTCATCTAATAGTCTGTGAAATGTTCTGGAAAAAATCATGTTATTGAGGCAAAAAATGAGGCAAAGAAATTGATGCAACTAAATTTAACGTATTTGTGACAAAAAGACTCAACTGCAGAGTTCAAATTAACAATTTATTTGAACAATATGTGCAGATCTGATATGTCACTATTGCAGGTTTATGGATACGATGGAGAAATTCCCTATTGCAATCTAAAAGCAAGATTACGCTATTACAACCACAAGAGATTCACCAAATGTACCACTGCAACTGCAGCAGAGTCACAAAATACACTATTACAACGTACAAGCAATTCATGTTAGCCTGCAGACCATTCACAAAGCTCACTAGTACCTCCCACAGGCAATTCACAACAACTCGTAAACAACTCACAAATTCACTATTATAATTCATAGGCAATTAATGAAGTACACTGTTGCAGTTCACAACTGAAATATTACACACGTGTTAGTATTCCATCTACAACTACAAACTTAAAGCATACCAAACATTCACTTACCCCTCCAGGCAGGGGTTCTCAACAAGTTACCTTGGCTGGCATCCTGACCAAGGGGGAAGGATCTCATTACCTGCTGCCGCATGGTAGAGAAGTAACTCCCAATTTCTAGCCTGAATCTTAGGGGTTTTATTCCCTGATGTACGAGACAGCAGACAGGAGTGTGTTTGAGTGGATTAGACCACCTGGGGTGTTTTTTAGCAGTGTTTCCCCTTACCTTTAGTTATTCATGGGTGATGTTCTATCATATCCTTCTGTATGCTCTTATCTGTTGCATGTTTTTATATTGTCTGAATCTCTTGAAACCAAATGGAAAACCTCCAGATCTTACTTTCAGGCAACTGAATAATGGTTTGATTGGGACTCAGGGCATACTATTTGTCGGTGGATTTCAAGGCTCAACTCAGGTTTTGGTTCTTTGAATGATGTAGCACTGCCCTGTTTATTCTTGGGCTTATCAGACAACTCAAGGCTGAACTATCTAGACAGCTCCCCATGGCTCGTCTCCACAGACGTAGGGCCTCAAGGCAATCCAATGCTGAGTCACGCTTGCAACCCTCTGTAGGTCATGTGGTGCAGGTCACGTGGTGCTCTGAACATTATCAAAACCTGTTTGAACTATGAGCCAGACAATCCTTACAGTATTTCTACCTTATATTTCTATTTTAATGTCTTCTTTTTGTGTTGCTTTTTGTTTGTTTTTATTTTAATTTTTTTAATTAGGAGACAACAATGGATGGTCTCTGCAATTTGATAAACATTATACAAAGGACAAATACAATAAGCTGAAATCTCTGTATGCATTTCAGACAAATACACCTGAGTGCTGTAAGTAATTACAATATTATTTGTGTGGTTATTACTGATGATTCCTAGAAAGAAAAACATAACAAATATGCTTACCATAAAGAGAAATATAGTGCAGTTTCATTTGTAGTAAAACAGAATTAATGTCTCAGATGAACAAATGCAGTGCAGCTAATTTCAGTTCTATTAGGAGTAAATTATTTTCTGTAAGGTAGATGTCAAACATATGTCAATTAGGAGGACAATACAAACATTTAGCTGAAAATATTAACACAGCGGGGAAGACCATGAAACACATATCTTTTGGAGTGAAATGAAGGCAACATTCTTCCAAATTCACTCCTTCATAAATCAGATGATGCTTGCAAATGCTGTCCACCTCTATGAGCATTTGTCCCTTTGTACAGATTTTCTGACTCTGCTGTCTACTATGAGCATTAATTTAAAACACAGAGGTAGGGCAGGGGGAAAGGGAACAAAGATGTCCTGACCCATATACATACCATTTTCACATGGACAGAATTGTGCTAATTCTAGTAAATATAAGAGTACTGAATAATCTAAAAAAGAGCCACAAAAAATCTGAAAAACCACTATGATGCCAAATTCCTGTAGAACTTTTCAAGCCCTGTCACAGAGCTCAGGAGGTAACATAAATTTGTGTCCCTTCATATTTATCATAGAATCATAGAATCGCAGAATCATTAAGGTTGGAAGACACCTCCAAGCTCATTAAGTCCAACCATCAACCTAACACCACCACACCCACTAAACTGTGTACTGAAGCACCACATCTGCATGTTTTTTGAACACCGCCAGGGATGGTGAGTCTACTACCTCCCTGGGCAGCCTGTTCCAGTGCTTGACCACTCTTTTAGTAAATAATTTTTTCATAAAAAAACTAAAAACTAAATCAATTACATGAAAACATGTGCCTTAATTTCTGTTTAAAACAACCTGGTATGTCTGCCTTTGTGCTCACTGTTCTTTCATACCCTATTTCTTTTCTTCTCCTCCTGTCACACCACCAATCCCGCTTTTTTGCCACAACTGCATTCTTGTTTTCATGCAGTGACTGGTACTGTGCCAGCAGAGTGTACCTGCCAAGGTCTGGAGATCTTCTGTGATGCTGTCAAACTGCGTGCTGTCCCATCAGTCTCTTCAAACATAACCATAATGTAAGTAGAGCAGAAAAGTGGTCTCTTGCTCTGTTAAGACTTGACTATGAATCCTACAACCTTTTCATAACTACAGCCTTATAATTTCATGACCAACTGGCTCAGCTGGTGCTTGTGAAAGCATAGAGTCTCTCTGCTGACAAGTCCTTACAATGTTTTAGTGACAGATTCTCCCTGCATAAAAGCAGAGAAAAAGAAATGAAGATCTGTGTGAAGTGATCATTTCATGTTTGTAACAGTGATGAGCTAGCAACAGTTTCAGGAAATTTAAAGAAATCTTCAAAATAAGTGTTTCCTTTTAAGACACACTGCTTAGAACCTTTTTGTTATTCTGTGATCCTGCCAATATTCCTAGTCTATATTCCTGCCAATAAAGTCAATAGCCTTGAACTCAGAGGAACTACTTGCTTGAGCAAATCTTTTTAGTTCTAATTTGATGTCTCTCAATACATTGTTATTTTAAAAGATTTAATCTGGGCTGGGTCATCATACAGATAGGTCTGTGTAAGCCAAACATTTTTAAGAGATCAGAGAATGGCTGATATTGCTCTTAGTTTGCACATCATTGTTTGAGAGGCTGTTTTCTGTGTGATAAGCAGAGGGCTGCATCACATATTCCTATTCCTACCTGAGGATCTTCCCTGATTGTTTCCAGTTTGTGCTCACATGTGGTTGAGGTTCTCCATGTTGAGTCTGAGTTCGAATACTACAATGCTTCATAGTGAAGATTGATGCAGAATGTCAAATATATATTTAAATTGGCTGTTGACTCAGGGTCAACAAAAACTTCAGAAATAATGGCTCAGTTCTAGCTTTAGAAAAAGCAATGAGTCAGCTCAGCTGGCTTTCGAGATGGACTCTCTTCTAATCCAACCATATGCTGAACAATTTTTGTTCTTGCCAGGACAGTTGAGTTGGTGCTCAGTGGAGACAGGGGGCATAGGGACACATGCACTGGGAGATAATCTCTATATGCATTTGAGGTGTGAAATAAATCTGTGGTTTATTTTATACTTATATGTTTTTAATTCTGATTTAACTATTATTTTGTCAGTTGCCCCGGGGACATGGAATAATATTTTTTGATTATGAAGTATTTGGATTACTGCTTAAATAGACACAAATATTTAGACAAACATAGATACCACATTCAGACTGTTTCATGATGTTTTATTATTTAGCAGTGTGAAAGCTGCCCTTATTGAGTAACAAAAGTGTATTCCTACACTGCAGGAAGCTGGGAGAGTAGTTTTACTGTCTGCATTCATTCCTATAGGTCTCTTCAGAGGAATCTGCTAAGGAAACTTTCTGCTGACATTTTCAACAAATACCAAGACCTTAAAAATCTGTAAGAGAGTATTTAAACTTAAAATATCTACTTAGTGCCTTAAATATTTATCCTCTCCCTCTCACATACACACAGATCTGAACGTCTAAGTCACAACCCTCAGTTGACATTCAGAATTCTGTTTTATCTTACCCTTCAGTACATCATCATTGTGTAACCTTTTTGGCTCAATAGCTTGACTTGGCATCTTTTTTCTTTTTACGAAACCAGAATTTCTGCATATTTAATTTTGTTAATATTGACTGTTTTACAGGGGAAAAATGCTAAACTTTATGTCTGAAGGAAGTTACACTAACAATGAACAATACTACGCCAGAAGACATTCAAGTAACTTAATCCATTTAGCCCACAAAATGAAAGTTTGAAAAACTAAACTAAACTTACATGGCACTTGGTTTTACTCCTAACTATGTCTGGTACCAATCCGATGATCCCCTAACTAGTCAAATTGTTATAGCAACAGCATACTGTGCTATGTTTTGTGACACCTAACAAACGCGTTGTTCAAAAATCATAGCCATCAACAAATTTGTTTTCTATAAATTTAGTGAAATTAAGAATTAAGATCAAAAGTCTAGAGCAGAGCTCTTATGTCACCAATTCAAGGCACTTATGTTCCTAGAAAATTACTGGACTGTAACTGTTATGGAAACTGTGCTGTACTCCAGCACCATCTTGTGTTCACAAAGTCAAGTGCCATTATTAAAGTACTGAAAGATACATTTTCATTAAAAGAAATAATCATTAATATAATAATATTAATTAGTGTTAATTAATTTATATTCTTTAATATTAATTTCATACATATCTGATAACTACATTTACAGAAAGCTTCTGAGCTCTGTTTTATACAAGTCCATTTTGTAAAGACAATGTCAGATTTCATATTGCTTTTTAACAGGAATGTAGCTGGACAACTTATTGCTTGTACTTTAATCTAAAGGATTTGTATTTAAGTATTAGAGAATAGAAATTTAATGCTTTAAAATTATTTAGAAGGATTTAATATTTGCAATTTATAGTATTTTTAACTTATGCAACCAAAATAGATAAAGAAAAATTGAAAGAAAAAAGTAGCATTCTTTAGTTTTCAGAAAATTAGCAACATTAATTTTATGTTTTTATTATACCATCTTAAAAATCCACAATCTGAAAATTCTCTGATGCAGTAAAAAGAGAATTCAGAAACACATGTTAAATTTTCCTTGTAGCGGGGTTCTGGCTAAGCATAAACATCAGGTCACACAGGTGAGAACTGCAAGGTTAGAACCTAAACCAGGTGGTTGCGTAAAACCACTTCATTGTTCATCTCAGGCAAACCAAGTGTCTCTCTGAGTGAATTTTGTAAAGCTGCTGTGAGGGGTATTTCTTTTAAAACGTCTTTACAGTCTTTGTAACTATACCTGTGAAATCAGTATTTTCAAATTTAAGACAAGTTTGACAGCTTCTTTTCAAGTATCACATGTGCATTCAGTTTACTTGATAGATTTTGTTTATTTATGCTATCTTTGACTTTGCATGCTTAGATAATTAATAGTTATTGTATCTTCTTAGGTATCTTCAGAATAATAAAATCAGAGCTGTATCTAAACGTGCTTTCAGAGGTTTATACAACTTGACAAAACTGTAAGTATTGCTTTTAGAATACCAAAATAAAGAGCAACGGGAAGAGCTCTGGGAATAGCTGCGGACATCTCGCTCTTATTTGTTTCAATGTTAAGAAGTTGCAAAATGGTCCAAATCTTTAACTCAAGGATTGGATTGAGAAAGCAAAGATAGACTAAGAGCTATCTGTCCAAGATCGTCTGACAGGACAATACTTTAAAAATACTAGTGGGATCCATACTCCACTCCTGTTCCCCAAATCTGCAGAACAGAAAAAGGATACAATATGGTAACCTGCATAAAGTCAGAAAGACTGAAAAAAGAATAAAACAAAAGCAAGAGCCTGCAATGAATCAAAAATCTTAAATGTTGTATTTTGGTGTACAGAAGGAGAGTCCTGTCTTGTTCTCAAAGAAGAACGTGAAAATTACCATAATAAAAATGATAATCATGAAAAAAGATTAGCACTATTGTGATAATTTATGAGGAAAAAATCTTAAAACTCATTTATCTGCATCTGATGCTAATTGATCATGCAGTTGTTTATCTTTCATTGATCTTGTTTCAGATATCTGAGTAACAACAGGATAACGAGTTTGAAGCCTAATGTCTTTGAAGATCTCCACAAACTTGAGTGGCTGTATGTTGTTTTCTTATTTGTATGTTTGTTTTCTCAAGAAATAATTAAAGCAAGAGAAAGAAATATTTGGATTGCTTTCATTTTTGTGCATAATAGTACTTTATACAAGATAATAATTAAGAAACTCATGTTACACTGTGCAAGGTAAAAATCCAATTGACTTTGGTGAGAGTAGAAATTAGTTCTTGGGCCTTAATGGCTCAAATGATTGATGACATAAATTAATTCTTCTGAAAGGAAATTTATTTGATCAATACCCTGACCTACCTGCTAGGGAGTAGTGAGTTCATTTTTTAAGTAGTTTGAATGGACATTTGAAGAAATCCACTTTAAAATGTGTTACTTTTTATCAATTGTTCAATTTAAGACTGCAGACAATTGTAAAACTGATACGTGTTTTGTCATAATTTGTAGGATAATTGAAAATAATAGGATAAATCGTATCTCTCCATTAACATTTTACGGACTCAAATCACTAATTCTCCTGTAAGTATTGAATAAGAACAAAAAGTGTTATTTAAAAGAACAGAACGGAAAGACATATATATTTATATAAAAACCTTTTTATAATGATTCTGTCTGTTCACCACAAAGTGCTGGCAGTACACCTGCAGCTTTTTCTTATCAGCAGGCAAGACATGCAGGAATAACAGGATTTTGGCAGTGGTGGACATGCAGTGTCTGGAAAAGTGTAGCAAGATGAGTGGGGAAAAATGTTAAAAATTCAACGTCACTGAGAGGGCAAGGACATGACAGCTGCAGAAAAGGATGCCGGTTGTCCTCCAGAGTCACAGTGCAGGAGGCAGGGATCCTAAAACTCCTGCCCCTTGTAGCAGCCCAGCCTCCCTCCCTGAGACCCTTTCTGTAACCTGTCATTGTCCTCTCCAGCCCCAGACATGAAGGACCCTTTTCCCCTGCAACCCAGAGTGAAACCTACCTCCATCTCCCCCTTCCTCCATCACCAACAGAAGTTAGAAGTTATGACAAAACAGTTAAAACTTTTCTATTGACTTGCTATATTTTATTTAAAAAGTGGTAAAGTGAACAACTTTCCTTTATGTGTTAATTAACAAGTGAGGGATAAAAAACTGCTCCCCAGAATGTCACAGGGAAAATATGTGGAAGTTTAAGAAAACAATACTACAGAATCACACAGAATCACAGAACATTAGGTATTGGAAGGGACCTCAAAAGATCATCTAGTCCAATCCCCCAAATGCTCATTTTTAGGTCCAAAAATCCCCTTTTAGGGCCCAAACTCTCATTTTAGGGCATAAACTCTCACTTTTAGGGCACAAACTCTGATAGTGAGGGCCAAAACTCTGATTTTTAAGGCAGAAATACACATTTTAGAGCCCAAACTCTCATTTTTAGGTATCTAACTGTCATGTTCAGGGCCCAAACTCTCATTTTCAGGGCCCAAAATCTCCTTTTAAGGCCTAAACTCTCACTTTAGGGGCCAAACTCTCCTTTTTTCACAGAATCACACAGAATCACAGAA